ACGTGCGTACGTCTCTCCGGCTGATTTATTTTTCCACCGCCCTTTTTCACTCTCCGACTTCCATTGACCACTGATACAATGAGAACTTTTTCTTTGACTTTGTTGAAAGTATAGACAGGGATGGAATGGACCAAAAGTTTGAAGAGAAATCACAAAATTAGTTCATGTAGTGGCATAAATTGATAGAAAAATTTAAAATTATATTAATAAGGATCAAGGATTGTTTTCAATTATTAAAATATTTGACTCTTAATAATGATATTTTTTAATTAGCAAATCAGGAAAAGCTAAAAGGATTATAATTTAATTTTAATTAAATATTAATCTGCAAAAATCGATATCGCTATATAATATGGTGAAAATTTGATTTTTATAATTATAAAATTGCACAAGATTTAAAATTAGAACTTGATTCAACTTAATTAATTTTTAATTTAATATTTTTTAAGATGCAACTTATATAGAATTATAAAATGTTCTTACATTTTTAAGTCTGAAACATCCAGTAATTACAAATTATTATTTATTAACAAATATTTTATGCTTTACATTTTTGTAAAAATTTAAATTATGAGCTCATATAAAAACGTATATAACAGACATTTTTAATTATATATCTTGAAAAAATATTTACAAAAAAAATTGTCACTCTGTAAAAAACTTTCTTTTTATATTCAGCAATATTTTTGTTCTGCATGGACTAAAATCGCTTAAGGAAAACCTTTTTTTAGGAGTATTTAAGGTGAAAATTTCCATTGAATTTGCCACTCTCTCATGATGTGAGTGAGGTTGTTTGTTCGTCGATTAAAGCAACCCCCCAACTTCTCAGTCCTAGCTCACTCTGTGCACTTCTCTCGTCGTCGTCAGATTTTAATGCTTTCCAGGGGCGCATTCGCGCACACGTTAGCTGTATTAGAAGACAGCTTAGCATATGCAAATCGAGAAAACTGCCGGTGCCCACGTCCGCCGTATACAAATACACGATCGGGGGCGAAAGAGAGAGTGTGCCGGTCGGAGGCGCGCACGCATCAACAACAGCACAAAAAATAGCATCAGACATTTTATTTTTTGCTGAAAAATCGTGTAAACATTCTGCAGGCCGCCGACTACGCATATATATAAATGTCCATGCGTACACAGACACAACCAGCAGCAGCATCTGCCATAAATAAAATAACAAACAAAAGTGCTAACTCAACGAGCCGATTCTATGCCTTTACAGAGAGGCCGATCCTAGAAACTGAAAGGGCAGAGAAATAGTTTGGCAGTTTTTGTGTGTATATAGAAAAGGCAAACTTAACTGGCATAAATCAATATAAATAATAAAATATTGAAAGAATAAAATAATTTAAATTAGTTAAAATAATAAAAAGTCAAACAATAAAATTTTAAACAGAAAGAAATTTTTCAAATAAAATATCAATGGAATTTATATTGAATTAAATAAAAAAAAATTTAAAAAGTTATTTAGTGTGTAAAAAAAATATAAATTATATCTTTATTTTATTAGTTTTCTTACTTAATTTATAAAATTTTATCTTAATTAATATTAATTTATTTTTAAATTTTTATAAGAGTTTTTTAGACGCTAAAAGCTTTTTTTTCAATCTTGCTGGAAATAGAAAGCATTCACTGGTAAACACATCTCCTCTTTTTTTAACTTGCTTACAATTTTTTTCACATGCAGCCCATTTTCCGAACTACGCGTCGAATATGTTACCAGGCGATTCCTTTTTATTAGAAAATTAAAATACAGAGAGCGTTGCATCTCGGCGCGGCGGTTTACACGGGTGTTGTGGAAAAATGCGCGAGGCGTGATGTTAGGTCAAAGAGAGTGTGCCCCCGGGAAATCAGGTAGCTTGGTGGTGCGCGCAGCTTTCGGCCAGCGGCGCAGTTAGCGAAAACGTTATTCGTATTATAATCGAGAGAGCGAGCGAGCGGGCGAAAGTATGTTATAGGTACATTACACGCACGCAGGGCTGCCGAGTGATATTTCCGAACGAACGCCACCCAGACGCATAATGACAAATACTGGCCGCTCCGAAATGCGGTGCACGCCCCTGGGATCTGTTTCATATTCCCCTGGATGTTTTTTTTCCGTCGCACTCAGAAAAATGTTTAGTTGATACAACTAATATTTAGTTTTAGTGACTAAATTTTTTAGTCCATTTTGGTATAACTCAACTCGTTCTTCCTTAGGACTAAATTATTTAGTTGAATTTTAACTCATACATTTATTTGCCATGACTAAACCATTTAGTCGCTTTTAGTTGTTATAACTAAACATTTTTGTATCTTTTAGTTGGTTTTAATATTATATTTAGTTATTTTTAATAATGCTCATTACTTCATTTAAGTGATACTTTTATTTGGAATATGGAGCAAGGGTTCGATTTTTTCTAGAAAAACACCAAGTGCTGAGTAAAAAGAACAACTTTATTTCAGAAAAGATCAACTATCAGATATAATAGGTAAAAATGTTTTTGACTCACAGCTTTTAATATGTCCTTCCAGATATGGCGCAAGGTAGGCTTATTCTATTTGTATATGAACGCAGTGAAAAAAAACAGTCACAAAACCAATGTCTTCTTCACTTAACACATTCACACTGATCTTCCGAGTTGAGCTTGTACTCCCAAAATCATAGTTTAGCTGGCGAATTTCCATACTGAAAAAAATATCAAATTATTTTTAGGTAAAATGTAAAGGCCAAAAATTAAAAATTACCTTTTGATTAAATTTTCTCTCCATTTCCAATTGCTTTTGAAATTCATCCCCTGCAGTCTGCACCCTGTACTCTGGTCATTAAATCCCTTTTCGTCGCTATTCATGATCCATCCAAGCGGTCGGTCGTCTGAAAATAATTTTAATTAAGCCATTTTTATTAAGCCTTCACTTCTTCCCAAAATTTAAAAAAAGCAAACATGATGAAGCTTCCCCAGCCAATAAAAAATGGCAAAATTTGAGAATAATTACACTCACCTTCAAAATTGAATGCGTTCTACAGATACGACCATACTTTAAGGAGGTCTCGGACAGTGATTCTTAGGCTGATGGCTTGATTATAAGGCGATAATTCTTGATAAATCCAGGAGCCTATCGTTTCACCAACAAGTACCATAAACGTGGACTGGAAGCTTGACCGATGCTTCCGATAGGAGGCGTTATGATCTCTTTTACTTGTATGAACTAAAAGATTAGTCACTAGAACTAAACTTTTTAGTTGCTGGTGGTAGATTTTTGAAACGGTCAAAATACCTTAGTTTTAGTTCCATCGACTAAAACATTAGTCATATGAAATAATGTTTTATTCAATGTTAATAAACCGACGATTTTCAGCAACTAAATAATTTATTTCTATGAAGTCACAGGATTTCTTGGCTTTAGTTGCATCAAGTGTTAAGTTTATTTCATATAACTAAAAATCAACTAAAACGCATTAGTTGAAGCTCAAATAAATTTTTTAGTTAACAGTCAACTAAACATTTCTCTGAGTGCGGAAAAAGTTGAATTGCACTGATCTGATATTCCTTGATTATGAGGTACATAAAAAGGTTGAACAAAAAGATAAATTGAAATCGGACAATTTTATCATAAATAATAAAAAATATCTCCATTTTCAACTGAACATTTCAGATTTGATAATTTATTTTATTTTTAGTTTTTTTTTTTACTTGTTTTGAGAAAATTACTCTATTGAAACCGTTGTTTGAATGCATTTTAATCCAAAAACTTTATCAAAATAAGTACCTAAATTGCAAATTGCAATATTTAAATGACAAAATTTTTTTTTAATTTCATATATAAAAGAATATGATTTTTTTCATGCTGCATTTGATATTTTACTCTTTTGCTTTTTTCCACTCTTTTATGTATTCAATGTGTCTTTCAGCATTTTGCTCTTCTCCTTCCTTCTTTTTCTTTCATTCTCTCTCCTTCCTTTTCTCTAACACACACATATGCACGCCCGCGCCGCCGAAATTTGCACAAACACTCTTCTCTTGGCATCAAAGAAAAGTTTACAGAGAGCAGCAGCAGCATCTTTTCTTGAGCGAGAGATGAGAGAGAAGAGGCCCCTGTTTTGTTTACGTTGCGCCGAAAGAGAAAAATAGTGTGACGCTGAAATATAGGGCGTAAATAAAAACAATCTCGTTTTATCTGTGAAGCCGGGCGGGCGGGCGAGACGCTGCTCAGGACCAGAGACACATTCCGCGAGCCGCAATTGAATTTAACGCTACATGTTCGGGTCAAGTAAATGAATCAAAAATAAAATAATCAAATTAAATAGGAAAATAAGCAGAATTATTTCTTATATTTGACTCAATTAGATGAAAATTATATAAATTAATTTCTTTTTTAATTTTTATCCACTTTCTCAAAAAAGTTCTAGTTTTATTATCAATTTTCTAAATGAGTTTTTCTTTTCAAATTTCTGTAATTAACTTTTATATTGATTCAATTCTAATTTTAGGTTTGTAACTCAAGGTTTTCAACAATTCAAGGTACACGACCCGACTTTCTTATTAAAAACAACGGTTCAAGCGGCTCTTTTTAACCCTCTCCGCTAGCTAAAGCACAATAATAAATACAAGACAGGGCGACGTGCCGGTTGTAAACAGCACGGTAAACAAGCACTGCACGAAAGAGTAGCAGGACAGGCTTGTTGTTTTCATCGCTTGGCGCCGTACACAAAGGAGAATAATGGCGTAAACAAGCTAATGAGCGGAGAGAGGGAGGAATTATCTCATTAGCCGGCAACGAAACGGTAAAAGTTACACCAGAGAGAACGAGAGAGAAGTTGCCGCCGGTGAGAAATTGCACGCGTAATTCGCGGCAACAAGGGAAATAAATTTTTCGCCACGCGCCCCCTCCGAAGGCCAAACTTTTGCAGCCAGAGAATGTTGTTTGTTAATCGAAAAGCGAAGAAAGTAAAAAAAAGGAGCGGATAAGCAAAATAAAACTCGTCAACACATCTAAAATTAACCCAACGTACAAAATCACTTCAATACACTGAAAAACTCTTTTACCTTTTAAAGGTTGCAACAACCTCCAAAAAAAGGTTCCAGGGGTGTCAATAATTTGTAAACGTTAAAACAACCTTCTTGCAAGGTACGAGGCATTTTAACCATCAAAGACGGTTGTTTCAACCTTCATCGGAACGTTTGTTACAACCCTCAAGCGAAGGTAAAGGATCGCTCGGCGGCTGCAACCGCGTACCTTTTCAGAAGTTTCGCCGTACCTTTTTATAAAGGTAAAATTAACCTAGTTAATAAAGGTTGTTCCAACTTCTACTTGGTGGTTGTATTTTATTTTTCAGTTTCTTTTTTTTACCGTCCAAATAGGTTACTTTAACCTTTAACTTTTTATTGTAGGTTCGGTTGATGAAAAATAGTACAAGTCCATTTTAAAAATAATCAGGTTTTTATTGGTATCACAAACTCCAAAAGACAAAAATAAATCAAAACAATTAAAAAAAAGATTAACAGTGGGCTGTACTTATCTAGTGTTGTCACTGCTGATCGATGACTCTCGGTAGCTTCCTTCTGCTGTTTGTGAAAATACGGCTGGATTTGCACTACTCAAACCAAACGCACTAAACTTCACACAATTTAATGTTTTAGCTCAAACTTCAGTTTCCAAGAATTTCTCAATGTTGATCGGAGTTTTCAAACAAATTTATTGCCTGTAAACAAAAGATGAAATTTACATTATATTCTTTTCCAAATTTCATTCACCATAATATAAAAAATATATGATTACATTTAGTCAAAAATTTTAAATGATAATTACCTTTCATTGGAAAATTAGCGTCGTCCGCAAACTACCCAGGATCTTTGATATATAGAAGTGAACGTTTTGGTCCGCATGCAAATATCTGAAAATAAAATAATATTTCTTTAAGAACGGGCATTTTGCTCTTTCGATAAAATATTTCACCTTTAATTTTCCTGTACTCCATTTTTCCACGCGCAGTTTAAGCTGCCATATAATTATCAATCCACAGTTCCAATGCGACAATCGAGGTATGAAATTTTGTATAGCTCACATTAGCCTGGAATAAAAGAATAATTTTCTATAATTAGCTATCAAGCTGTATTTGCGTTGTTTGCTTGGGATGAGAAACTAGTCCTCACCCAGGACCAAAGTTGCATATTTATATGCGAAAAATACTTACTGCATCTTTTTGAGGGCAAATCACTCTGATTCTTCAAGAATATCTGCCATTTTCTTCAAAATCTTAAAATTTTTCCAAGACCGATGTGATCACAACAAGAAGAGACGCAAACTAACATGGGCGCTCAAAAGAGAGACGCGCTTCGAGTGCATTTTTAACTTTCTGTAGAGTTAGATTTACTTTCCATGAAGGTAAGCGCAACCTTTGCACGACGTTAAACGCCAACGGACGCATAGTTTTGGCGCAATTTCCAACCTTCAGCGATGGTTGGAAGCTTATTTGAAATTAAATGCCGCGTGTTAGAAAGAAAAAAAATGAAAATTTGAAGTTTTTTGCTCTTCATGGACATTTTCAGAGCTTTCATTGTAAGCTTTACATTAAAAAAAATATTTTGAAATAGTTTTTCCTATTATTGACTTGGGATTCATATCCAAAAGTGTTAAATTGTGAGGACCAAAAAATACCAACATAATATTTTTGCTTCACCAAAAAACGGAGAAGTTTCTGATAGAGTAGCTCTTACATATTTAGTTAAAAAATATAATTTTTGCCAAAACTTGCAAAATTCATTAAAAATTTATACTGGCCGCTATATTTATGCAAAATTATTAAAATTTAGTGCTCTATTAAAATATTAATTAATTAAAACCTGTGTTAAGTATTAGAAGTTTCAATTAAAATTGAGATTTGAATGAGTCGTGTGCAGAATTTAGAGTTTTAGACATTTAAGTTTTCTTTGTTTATTAAAAGTAATATGTATTTTTCAAACTCAGCTCTTAAAATTATATATTTTTATAACTATTTAATATTATTTATCGCAACCTTTGCGCAGAGGTCACGTCAACCTTTTTGCGAAGGTACCAAGTGAGTTGGAGTATACTTTTACCTTTGTGTCTAGGTTCATTCTACCTTCATAGGCGGTTAAAAGTTTTTTACCAACTAACAAAGGTTAAATTCACCTTCTGAAACTCGTTGGCTGCTAGGTCTGCAACCTTTAAGAACGGTTGATTTTACCTTTTAAGCGTCTAACTGAACAAGAAGGTTAGAATAACCGTTGCGCCGGTAAAAGTAACACTTTTTGAAGGTTCCTTTAACTTTTCTGGAGGTTAAAATCGCTTCAACCTTTTTTGAAGGTAGTTCAGTTTTTCAGTGTAATTAATAGCAAAAATTGTCAATTAGAATTTTCCATTTCATGAAAAATGCTCAATTTATTTACCAAATAAGTTTTTTTAATATTTTAAATTAAGTTTTATGAAAATCAGTGTCTCTATTTTGGTACCAAAGGCAACAAGTCTGCTGGGATTGTTTGCGGATGATGGCGCGGGATGAGAAATTCTTCTCTTCTCTCCGCGTTTTGAAAGTTTATTTGTTCCCAGGCACGTATCTCTCGGATGGCCACTTAAAGCGCAGCTCACAGAAACGGCGCGGACTAATATTTACAGAAAACGACAGAGCAGAATTTTTCCTCTCGCTCACTCTCTAATTGTAATTGTTTCATCAATTCAAAATAAAATATCAAGGCAGAATCCTTGGGCAGCTGCGTCGTGTTTTGCGAGCGCCGATATGACATTTCTCGCCGGTTTATTTTTGCTTCTGGAATGTGATGTTTTGCGTGAATCAGAAAAGCTATAGCCGGAGCAGAGGAGACACGTTCTCCGATTTTGCCCAATGTTTACCTTAAGCGACCGCATATACCGGCCAACAGAGCTTCAGAGACGCACCCCTACCGGCGGCTTGATGGCCTCTTATTTCAAGTGCTTAAGCTGGAGTGGCTATTTAAGACGTATATACGGGAATCGCCGCGGGCCAGACACGACGCAAAATGCACCCCTGTAGATATGAGACAACACCCCCAGGTTAGATCAAACTGCTTCAATTTAAAATCCATTTTGGCTTTATTATAAATATAATAATTAAATTTAAAGCGTTTTACTAAATTATTTAGTTTGAATTTAAAAACATTTTTTATGTTATTAATATTATATATTATTTTTTATTTTTTAATTGAATTTAATAACTGTTTAAAAATATTCAAGCAATGAAATAAAACTTTTAAATAAATAAGCCTCTTTATGTATTCAACTTAATACTAAAAAAAAATAATAAATAAAAATAAAACCAGTCGATTTCTAATCAGGTTGTTAATTTCTATTTGCAAACGTTAACTAATAGAAATAAATTTAGGCAGTTGTTTCAATTTTGATGAATTAATTTTATATTTGCAGACTGTTCAAAATTTCAATGTATCTGTATCTATGAAAAGATATATAACAATAAATAAAAAAGCAGAATTTATCTCAATTATTTCTAAAAAAAAAAAATGCATTGTGAGATTTTGGAAGAATTTAAAAAAATAAACTAAGCTTTTGACATTTTCAACCTCGTTTTCAAAAAAATTCTCAATTAAATGCATCTCGTGTTCTAAAAAAACGGAAGTGCCGGATTCACCTTTGACACAAAACGTCTGTGGTGCTGCTGGGAACCGAGACTTCTTTTGAGACGTCAGCTGCTTTTTACGCGGCGCGGCCTCAGAGGCAACAAAACATGCTCATCTGTCAGACAACAAGACAACAGGAAATAGTGTTTGCGTGCCGGGCGCTTTCTCAACAGGGGTGGCTCTGACGAGGGGGTGCACTCCAGAGAAAGAAACCAAGATAAATGAAGCGGTCGAATTGTGGTTAATTCACGCCTATTTTCACCGGCAAAATTTCTTATATCAAAAAAGGTTTGAAATATATCGATTTTTTTATGACAGAAAAGCAGATTCGTGAGACCGACGCACCCCACTGGATTTCGAACGTCTCAAGGGGTTGCTGCTTTTCTTAATCAGAAAATGTAGTATTTTCACCCCTTTGCTCGAAACTCGCACAACCGAAAGAAAGATTTATAATCGGAGCAGGTCAGGTGGAAAATAAAAAGAAAATGGTCCTTCCTTTTTTTTGTACTTCTCTCGAGATGCAAATTTTTATAAAAGATCATAATTAAGAGAGCAGTTCGCGGATGAATGAGTGATTTCGCGACGGCAAAAAAGTTTTAAGTGGTCTCTTATAAAAAAATCGCCGAGTTATTATATTTTCAATGAGGCATGAAAGAATAATAAAGAATGGCGGACTTTCTTTGACAATTATTTCGATTTTTATTCTCTTTTAATATGAAGAAATAAAAAGTTTTTGAATATTTCTATCGCAGGAAAAATTATTCCCGTTTTGTGAAAGGCGTAAAACATGCTTTGCTTGCTTTACGGGAATAATAACCTACGTACATCATCATTAAACAAGCAAAGAAGGAGAAAGAGCAACATACGTGGGGCCAAATAATGGTTTGTGCAAATTGATGCCCAAAACGTACCTTTCCGCAAATGAAATATCAACACCTGAGAATTATCTCTGCACAGGATAAATAAATACTGCTAAAATTAAATCCAAATAATTTCCCTTTTGGGCAAAAAACAATATTCGAATCTGGGGAAGTGATTTTATTATTCCTCTCGCGAGTGCTTATTCTCTCTTTATTAAATTTCGGAATAAATTCTACAATAAGAGCAAACACGGGCAAATAAGTTATGCATCAAAATTTTCAATTTCGGCTCCGGCGCGCATACGAAAATCAGCAGCCCTTCGGCAATTCTTATAATCTGTGCAATATGTGAACTTTTCTTTCTCTCTTTCCTGGCTGATTTTCCAATTCAAATCTTCTATCGCCTTATCAGCCCCGGCAGCTGTATAAATTCCCCCTGCTGTGTTTTTTCCTCTTTCCGCGAGAAGAGCGCGTCGCACACACGGTGCGCGGCAATTTCGAGAGAGACGCAAGGCGTGTTTCGGGAAATAAGGAGGAAATTCTGTTTACATTTTAATATCTTGCATACATATTTTCGCCATATGCGGAGCCAAAAATGCCACAGCTCGAGACAAGGAGAGACAGCGAATGGATTACTCAAAAAGCAATCTAATGTATTTGGAGTCGAGAGAATTTTATTATTCTATTTGATTTTTAGGATTATTTTTAATAATTATAAATATTAAAACTGTAATTTTAATATTATGATTTGTTTTCAAATAATTTAAGTTATCCGATATCAAAACAAGGCGAAGATTGTAATTTATTATAATTTAATAATTAAAGGCAAAAAGCTTTTTAATTCCATGGACAAAGCTTAAATTATCTATTTAATTTTAGAACAAAAAAATTTAATTCATATGCATACAAACAAAACTATGAATTCATAAAATAGACTGTTTAAAATGAAAATATCAGGCCATTTTTGCAAACAAATTTATGACCACTTTTCAAAGATTTTGAGAATTATCACACCATAAAGGAAGAAGATAATTTGCATGATACTTTTTATTTTCCTCAAAAGAAGAACGTCTGTTAAAAAATGTGCTTCTTACTCTCAAGAGTTTAAAGTTCGTATAATCGTCAGCTGATTTCGCTCCCTCTCGCATCGACTGGCACCAGAGGCACCAGATCGGCGCCCCACTTGACGGCGACCGAGGCCGTTCTCCGCGCCAAAGCGCCACCACTTCTCACGCGGGTCGAATGAGCACCATATAAATTTTTTCAGATTTGAAACCTTTTTCTAATTTTCACGCAATTTCTTTTATCGCAAAGTTTGCAAAATTATTCGATAAAAAGAATTATTGCAAAAAAAATGCTGTTCTGGATGATGTGAAGCCGGCGGAAAAAATGAGTTATAAAATAAAGGCATTCATTTACATCATGGTATGATTGGTGTGTAACTCGGCACTCTCGCATATGTGAACACAACGCAGGCTGTCAATCACCCCGCATATAAAACACACATTTGCATACGCGCAAAATACAAAACCTCGGCTTCTAATTAGCGTCGGATACGCGAATATATATTTCAAAATCGCAAACGCGAACAACGAGACATTTATAAAAAATTCATGCTCAAAAAAATTATTTAGTTATTAATTAATTTAACTTTTTATGATTCTTGGAAAGGGTAAACGACCCTTATGTGCCAAACCAAGTGGCCAAATATTAATTATCGCCCTCCTTGAAGGGGGTGGAGATAAACATTCCAATAAGTCCGGCGCTGAATCTCCGAGAAAACCAATTAATCACGCACCAAACTTTGCTTGGCGAATCTCTCCGCATGTACACGTGTGTGAGCATCACT